AAGAAACAAATGGCACAAAAACAATGCACATTTTATAAACCAGGGCGGTGCCCTGAGAAACATAGTCATAGTCTCTGGTACTGTTTTCTCTAGAACTTAAGTATTTCCTTTGGTGTCGTTTGACTGGATATTACCACTTGCATTTTAATCTACTTTGTGCTGCAGCTGAACTTTCCCGCCCTGCTCGTTTCCTGGCGTTAAATCGCTAAAGCGTTACATCTGTAGCTTCCCAAAATGACAAGATTTAATTTCCTTACATGATCAGTATGTACGTCTCATCGGAAGCTTTCCCCGTTAACAAAGCACGGGAGGCCTAGTCGTATATTGAATCACGTGACTTGGCGTTCGACCCTCACAGCTCTATCCACCCACTCCGCGACGCGTGAATGCAGGCATCAGCATCAGAACCCGATCTGATCCAGCACCAGTCATTCACGCCGGCGCGACATCTTTGCTTCTCCCGATACTTTCGACTGAACAGGAGCTTGCTATCTTAAATGATTGCCTTGTCTCGCTAGATCGTCGCTATGCCTGCGTAAGTTCACGTTTCTCTACTAGCGCGTGTTGGTGGTCGATAACTAACACAATCGTGAATTCAGTCCAGGCGATCAGCACCAATCGTGGGAGAACCCATTCGAAGAAACGAAGCCCAGGATTTCAGCATGGACGGTAAAGGAGATTGAAACGATCTCTCAAAAACTCGATAGACAGCTGGGCCCGGAATACATTTCGGCACGGGCAGGCCCAGGCGGCCAGCGCGTCCACTACCTGACAGCCGAGAAGTGCATCTCCCTTGCGAACGAAGTGTTTGGCTTCAACGGATGGTCGTCTTCCATACAGCAAATCCAGGTCGACTATGCCGACGAGAACCCGCAGTCCCAGAAGGTAAATGTCGGCCTATCTGTGACCGTTCGTGTCACGCTCCGAGACGGAACCTACCATGAAGATGTCGGATATGGGTCCATTGAGAACGCAAAGAACAAGGGCATGGCGTTTGAGAAAGCTAAGAAGGAGGGTACCACGGACGGTTTGAAACGAGCACTTCGAAGCTTTGGGAACGTCTTGGGAAACTGCATCTATGACAAGGAATATGTGAAGCAGGTGGTCAAGGTCAAGGCGGAGCCAGTCAGGAAGTTTGACCAGAATAACTTGCACCGGCATGCTGATTTCGTCAAAAAGGAGCAGCCAAAGGAGCAAAAGGTTTCTAATGTACCTCCTGCTCCAGAGGCCCTACCTAATCTGCCCTGGTCTGACTCGTTTGAGGACCTGATTGGAGGTACGCTTCCGTCTGATACGTTTGAAGAACTGGATACTGAATTATTCTAGAACTCGACGAGGCCGATTTCTGTGTGCCAGAGGATGATCCGCCTGAAGAGGCCACGGTCCCAGCCCCAGCCCAAGATCCGCCGGTGAAGCATCACCCCAATCCCCCAAGGCCAATGCCGCCTCGCCCACCCCAAACACCCAATCAAGCTCAACCCCGATATATTCCATCGGCTGGAGGAAATGGGGCAGCTGGTCAGGCTAAGCGCCCAAACCCCGTTCCTCAAAATCGATCCTTTGCGAATGAATCAGCCCCGGCGGCTCCTACAGCCGTTCCCGAGACTGTTGGCTTCTTTTCCGCTAAAGCCGTAAGCCAACTCACCGATTCGAACAATACCGGCGAGAATAATGCCCAGCTTGGTGCTCCACGCGGCCAACAAATGTTCAACCCAAAGGCAGAGAGCCCATCGATCCGCAAAACGCCCGGGATAGACCACACCTCATCGAGGCCTTTGGCCAGGTCCGGGCAGCACGTTGCTCCTACTAGCAGCCAGGCACAGTCGGGAAACACCAGTAGCTTTACCCCAGTCAGACCCTCAATCGGAGGCACTCAGGGCACTAGAGGGAACGTGATTCATCCTAATATGGACCAAACCCGCCGGATCGGCGCACCGAGCATATCAGCGAGTCCTCTTAGCAACAGGAACTCGTTTAAACAACCCACCATGAAGCGCCCGGCTCTGGCCGATGTGCCGGCGAATGCAATCCCTAAGGTGGAACCGGGCACAGACGGCCTAGATACGAAGAGACAGAAGATGTCTTGAGGAATTTGTAAGATGGTCAATATAAGGGGCCACGTCATGCAACAAGGCGTTTTAGCGTTGGTTCGGTTTATGGAGTTTCATTTTACGTCCCTGAAGAATGAGTGTTTGGTTTGTTGGTGGGATTACAACTTGTCGGCTCCTTCATGTAACTCGGAGTCAATGGAGGGATCGTTTCTCTCTCGCAACGACATAAGGTTTTGTCCTCGTTTTCAGATAGATGGCCAATGCTACATAATGATGATTGTCAAGGGAATTAATCATGTGCTGCTAAGCACGAACTATTGATTCACTTCGTAGAATTCATGCCGACTATCATTGGTTGATTTGTATTGGATCCCAGTTTCGTCATATGCCACTATATATTTTACACAGACATGAGGAACGTCTGGCGTTCCAGAAAAAATAGGCAACCTACAAAGAAGTAGAGACCAGTCGTTAATACAGCTGGCGAAAAAAAATCGGCCAGAAAATCGGAGTTGTGATGGGTTAGAAGAACCAGGGCTACGACTTGGATGTGGCCGCACGCAGTCTCTTCAAGCCATCCTGCGCAGTCTTAGCTCCTTGGGCGAACCCGAGCTTGTTGCTCAGCTCGACACACTGCTCGTACTTCTTTCGAGCAAGATCAGCCTTGCCCTGCATAGCCGCCACGTCCCCCCAGTTGCAGAGGGCGGTGGCGCATGCCTCGTCGCACTCGGCCGTGCGATCGTCCCCCTTGACATCTTTGGCGTGGAAGTAGGCGTTGTTGGCCCAGTTTGAAGCCGCCTCGAGACAGTCCTGGCGGGTGTTGGGCATAGAGGATGCGAAGAGGTCCTTGAGAGACTCGGTCTCGGGGTTGCCTCCCGCGGTGGGGCTGTAGATGGGGTGCTGGGCGAAGCAGGCTGACAGGTTGTTCATGATGACGGCGCGGTGGCAGGGGCTTTCGCAGTTGTGGAGTGCCTGGAAGAATAGCGGGATCGCCAGATGGAACTGCGACTTGCGCTCGTAGTCACGGCCGAGTGATTCCATGGTGCTACCAACCTCGGCGGGGGTGAGCCAGCTCTGTTCGCCCGGCTTGGGGCCTTCCTCCTTTCGTCGTCGGAACTCCTTCAGGGTCGTTTCGACAGACCAGACTAGATGGAGATGAGAGTTGTCGGGGTCGAGGACATGCTCATCTGCGAAGATCTCGCCAAGTTTCACGCTAATGGAGACGGCCTTTGATAGGAGTCGCTCGCGCCTCCGCCATAGAGTCTCGAGCTCTTGCTCTTTCAAGTGGGGCTTCGTCTCGTCGTTTAGAGCCGAATAGACGGGTGCCGTCGAGTCTGAAGGAACCGCTGCCTTGAGCCTTCCTTGCTCATTGATTTCGCCATTTGCGGCCTGCTTCTCCATGTTCTCGACCCACTCCAGACAGTCTCTGCGTACTGCCTCAAGAACCTCGATTGCCTGGGAGAAGTTTCCAATCTTCTCGAGCCAGTAGGCGACCATGATCCTGATTCCGACAACCTCATCGGTGAAAGGATCTAGCCCAATCTGCTTGGACTCGGCCATTGCCTTCTTGTAGTACTTGAGGGCTCGTTCCGGGTCGGGGCTGACGGTAGTAAAGTAAACTGCCCGTCGAAGGGTTGTTGCGATTGGCTCGGGGTATCTGCTCCATTGCCGGTTGTAGAAGAGCTTATAGAAGGCGCGGACTTGGATAGTGCCATAGACGGCCGAGAAAATCAAGCTGCGTCAGGTCAGCTACACATTCGAGTTTCAAGTCTTGTGAGAAGCGGAGAATAGCGTGGTGGGATTGGCACATACGCGAGTAGAATTACACTGATCAAGATGGGGTTCTCGCGGAAACCTTGTCGCACGCCTTTGGGGCTCACGGCGAAGGCGAGATTGCGCAGGCTGACTGCAAGTGCTCGCCCCCAGAACTGGCGGAAAGTCAACTTCTGCTTCTCTGGTTTCTTCCCTGTTTGCTTGTCCCCCTCGTTCCCGGGCTCGGCCTCCTTGACAGTAGAGTGGTATCGCTGGTATATCGGCTGCAGTGGGACGGTCATGCGGATGCTGAGGGTCGCAGACCGGGATGTGAGGGTGAGCGCCAGGAGGCCTGTACGAGCCTGGCGAAGGCATTGGCCGCGAATTGGCCGCAGGGAGGCGACCGCGGCGACGGACATGGTGAAAGCGTAATCTGGATGTCGAGCGAGGAGCCGTCAACAGGCTTGGGAGGGCCGGGTGGATGTTCTTGGTGGTGGTTCATGACGGAGCCTAAGAAATCTGGAGCATGACTAATCACGACATACATGATGAACCAAGGAGATGCAAAGCTCCTGATCATGTTGGAGTATTAGATAATTATTGATAAATGCAAACTCATAAGATTGCTCAAGTATGAGCCCTCATTTGATTTTTATCCTTTATGATGATTACCTGGCTAGTCTCTTGGTTGGACCTGGTGACAGAAATTGGTTGCCCACATGCTGGATGCTCGGGGCTATCCGCCACCTCGGCATTTTGCGGGTTCCCACGAAGTGTAAGAAGACAGAATAGCTGGGCTGATACTATAATGAGGCACAACGATATTGTGTTAATGTGAGTTTGGATTAGAACATCGAAAGAATTGGCCTATAGTTCCTTATTACTAATTCTTTCATTTTGTTGGAAGCAAGCTGTCAATTCAACCCCACAGAATTCTAGGCGCCAGAATTATAGGTGTAGTGCTTAGGAGAGGTTCTTGCATCATTTTCAGCGGCGCTGTATTTAGAGCTCGGCACCTGTTGATATCCCCACCCTATCACTCCTGCATCTACCCCGCCTCCCCGATAAATACTGAGCGAGCCCACTTGCTCCAGACCATCGCCCACTCACGGTTGTGAAAAGGACGGAATTGTGACATTGAAGCTCCTCACAATCACTCAAAACAACACACACAACTATTTCCTGCGATCCGCAACTATGAGTGGGAAGTTCGAGCCCAAAGCTCCAGTGAACCTGGACCCTCCCAAGGATGACCCAATTTCTCTCGAGGAACTGGCCAAGGCCAATGGCAAGTCCATCTGGATTACAACGAAACCTTGTTGCTGCAGCGAGGAATCACTGGGCCATGCAATCCGCTGACTGTTGTTGTACAGGCGCCGAGGGACAAAAATGCTATGTCGCTATCAAGGCATGTGGTTTTACTCTTCGTCCTACATAGGGTTGACCCGCCCAGTCTCCTATTTATTGCCCTGCTCAAATGCCTAGTAGGCCGTCATTCTAACATGGTTCCAACACAGGGTAAAGTATACGACGTGACTGGGAAAACGGCCTACGAACCTGGTAACTCATACCACGGTGAGTCACAGCTATTCTTATACCACATTTTACACCTTATGCATTTGCACGGATGCTGATTCGGATTCGCACCAGTCTTCGCCGGCAAGGATGCCTCAAGAGCACTTGGAAAATCATCAGTCAAGCCTGAAGACGTCAGTGCAGATTGGCAAGACCTGAGTGACAGCGAGAAGAAGGTCTTGGATGACTGGGTCACCTTCTTCTCCAAGAGATACAACATTGTCGGCCGAGTAGAGGGTGCAACAAACACCGACTAATTGCCCAGTGGTGGTGTTGAGGCAAACTTACCGAGAATTGATACCAACCTTCCCTGGTTCTTACTTTCCTATCTTCTGAAGCTCTACCATTCAACTCATCAATGTATTCTACTATCATCGGCAGCCATACGAGCAATTCTTAACATCCAATGACACTTACGTTAAAGTCAGTGGATTTTCAGTATTTAGAGTTACTGTCACCATTTTGATATATGTATTGGTGGCTGTACTGAATGTTCCAATGGAATTTGCCATCTCTCAAAACTCAATATCAGCCTCAAAGCTCATACAGCAACGCGGGGCGCAGAAATATATACTTGTGTCTATCAACCTTCTACACCATAAGCCTTCGTCCTAGATAAACTCTCTTATTTGGAGTTTACAAGCTTAGAGTGAGAAAAAAAAGAAAAAAAAAAACTTTGATACTGCCATCAGAAATTATAAAATCAACGACAAAGCAGCACATCGAACATTTTTACAGTTTCTTCTTTCCATCACTCTCCTCACACATCTTTGCCTTTCTAGGAATCCCTCATTTTCCTGTACAACACTTTAATCTCAACGCCCTATGACCTCTGCTATGATTTGACAGCAGAGGATTATCTTCGTTTCTTGTTGTACTATACTGTTGTATTATACCCTTTCTTTTACTTATCTTTCATCATGATTCTTTCAAAATTCTCTCTTCTCGCCATATTTGCTGCGATTTTGGCTATCGGGTCCCCAATCCCTGGAGTATCCGAGGCTGTTGAAACCTTGGATCAACCGAACCCTCTATCTGTGAACAGCACCATTGTTGAGGATGCCACCAGAAAATTCTCTCTCCCTATTCTTCCAATAGGAGAACCAGCACAGTCTCCCGGACCAAACAATGGCCAATACGGCATGCAGCAATCTCACATGCTTGACTCAGCTGCCACGACTGACGCGGCCAAACTAGAGCGCAGAAGCTTTTGGGCCGACGTGGAGCGTTGCTCAAGAGAAAACAACTACCAAGACGGCCAGTGTATCAACATGGTCAACGCCACACCATACCGCTGGCGCAGAGGGTACTATCACTCGTACCGCGTGAGCGCCTGGGAGGAGAGATGGCCCGAGTACATCGAGCCTGGCGAGTCCATCGCTGTCCTCGCAAAGATGACCAACACCGGCATATTCGACAGGCCTGAAGATTCCGCCGCAGAGGTCGCCTACCACATGGAGGGCACCAGCAAGCCCATGTCATTCATGCTAGAATATCGACCCGGGAGGGCGCACATCCCGTGGATCAGGCTCCTCGACGACCTCGAGATCATGAATCACTACAAGGGAGCCGAGTTCAGCCTAGGAGGGAGAACATCCCCAAACGGCGTCGGCTTCACCATCGCCGGGACAGAGGGAGACTTCATCACCAACGACGGACCCGCGGCGTGGATGCAGGCCATGGTCGACGATCTCGGCGACAAGCCCCTCCGCGAGATCGTCCTCGGCCGCAGCCACCACGCCGGCATGTGGAAGGGCATCGGCGGCTTCCCCAACACCTGGTGGAACACCGTGACGCAGGAGGCCACGTTGTACGACCAGCTGCGCAACGGAGGCTCCCGGGTCCTCGACGCGCGCATCGTAAGGACGGCGGGCAGGTTCCACGTCTGCCACGGCGCCCTAGTGGACAAGACCTTCCTCGGGAGTCTCGGGGTCAGGTTCGACGAGCTCATCGAGCAGACTAACCAGTTCAACGAGGACTACCCCGGAGAGCTCATCATCTGGGACCTGCACCCGGACGAGGCCTTCAAGATCGGCGGAAAGTCAGGCGGAGAGGGGTGGGTTTATGAGGAAATGGAGTACGGGTACCTTGACGGGGAGGGCCGCGCCGACTTTCTCGAAAGCCTCAAGGCCTTGGACCATCGCATTTCTCTCCCGGAAGGTGTTGACATCACGAAGCTGCCGCTCAACAAGTTCATTAACTCAAAGGACAAAAAACCCGCCGTCATCATCCGAGTTGATGAGCGGTGGCTCAGGAGTGTGGACCGAGAGCGTTGGCCGGGTCCAAGCGAGGGGTTCGTGACAAACAAAGACTTTCCAATGACATCGACTTGGTCCGAGATGCCGGAGATCGAGGCCGTGGTCGAGCATCAGCTTCGGAGGCTGGACGAAGTCGAAGTGTCCCGCACCTCGGAGGTCTACGACATGCAATGGCTCCAGACGCTCGTGGGGTTCGGTGCGGTCTGGCCATTGGGTGTCTCTCTCATCTCCATGGCCGATCAGGCTTGGGATGCGGCATTCAGAGAGTTGTTTAATGCGCTCACGCCGGATCGTTATCCTAACTGGTTGACGGTGGACGGTATCCGAAACTCGGAGCTGAAGACCCTGGTAATGGCGATGAATCACTGCTTCGTCCTTGAGAGATGCGGGGATTGGGTGGATGAGAGACGATGATTAATGGACGAAGAAATGAAAGTATGAATTATGAATGATATGGACATGCCTAATTGAGCATGAAATTTGAGGAATACTGGAGAGACGGATTCGTTGTGTAACAAAATGTGTTTTGATAAGGGGCGTTGGTATATGGTGGCACTACGGCCACAACTCAGTATTCGTTATCGACAGGCAAGAAAGGGGCCTGTTTTTAGACTTGGCTGTATGCTAGAGAAAATAAATTGCATTTTAAATCTAAATCTATAGTATAACGGTGACTTGAAGGCTCTCTTATAAATCTATGCCCTAAATAGCAAGCATGCGTAGGACAGGAGCCACAATACATATCTATGTGTCGTTACTTTTGTTGTGATTATGACGGTCTTTGGTGCTTAGACCCTTCCCCTAGCTTGAGGAACTCATATGACGTGTGGTGAGTGTGATTGTATACGGGAATTTTCTTTTAGGTCGAAGCTGACGTATCACCTTCGGCTGCAGCTCCTCGCCTCCGACGAACAAAGCTGGGCAAATTCACTTTGCTTGGCTTTTCCCTAACCTCGGGCCTCCCATCCTCGTATGCAGCACCTCGCTTCTGGGGTTTGCAACAGCAGCCCATGGCCAGATGAAGGAAGAGAGCAAGGACACTGAGGATGGCGGCGATCCACATGAACACGAACATCTTGATGCCAATCTCAGCATTGATGTTGAGCTCGTCCTGAGCCGTGAGGGCCACCTTGGCGGCAACAGTGATGACGGTGGCGATGATGGCAGCCACGCCCACGAGGATAGACGAGATTACGCCCAGGATGGAGAGGGCCAAGGAGAACCAACGTGTGCACAACGCCAGGGGGGTCAGGAATATCAAGACAAAATTCAGAGCTGTGCCAGCTGTGAAGAATGCCATCATGACCTGTGATCCCAGCCTGAGAAGCGTAAGGATGGTGGTTACGGCAGAAGGGAGAGCAATCTTGGCACCTGCAAGAAGCTCACCGACAAGAACTTCTACCGGGTTGAACCAATACAAGGCCACCGGCGAAGAGCAATAGGTGACGCCCCTGGATAAACGCAATCAGCTTCACGATGCTTCAAAAGCTGCTGTTGGGCAACAAGGCCACATAGTGGGATGGGATGGGTTAGCTTACTCATTATTGTAGCCTTCACAGAAGTTCCACAGGCCAACCTGGTAGAAGTCATGAAGTCCCAGGCTTCGAGCCACCGAGTTGAGTAGGTTGGAGTTCTCGACCGAGATGGGGATGATCTGGGAGACATCGAGCTTGAAAAAGTAAATGTCGTTGAGAATGGGATTGATATGGGTGTTTCCAAGAGAGACCATAATCAAAAATGGAATGGTGATGAAGTAGAAAATAGCAGCCACAATAGTGGTGTTGCGTCGAGCTGGAGGCCCGCGCATTGTGCGAGCTGGTTGCTGGCTTCGCAGCACTTGTTGGGGATGATGAATTAGGCCGGACAGACAAGATTCCAGAGATGGGCAATGTCAAACCATGACACCCAGAGGAGAGGAGCAATTAAGGCGAACAGAGAGTTATCTGAGGCAAAGTGGGCAGACCAGGCAAACAAGAATGCTGCTACTGAAAGCTTGGATGGTGGAGCTGTTGCAGCAATCACGGAACGCTTTCAGGTACATTTGGTACCTATGTGCCTGGTGGAATAGCGGACAGCAGCCCAAGAACAATTTGTTCTGATCGACGTCATTTTGCAAGCGAGTCGGCACGGCAATGCGGCAGGGGATGTCCTGACTGGCTGGCGTACAGCTTAGTGGTGCCGAGACCACTGTCTGAGTCCCGTCCTGGCCTGGACGGTGCACGTTCTGTTCTGTAGGTGGGCGCAGAGGCCTGCATGAAACCCGCCGTCCCATCCCATCCGCCCCCCCTGCATCGGTGGAGCTAGGGCCTGGCAAGCGGCAAGCCACCCCTCCATCTGGCATTCATCGGTGGACCAGTAGATCAACCCTGTGCCACCCTCGTCCCTTCCAAGTTGGTCCTGCCTGTAGAGCAGGCTCACGGGCAGACGCCTCCATCCAGAGACGAGTTCTGGTGGCTCTAGTAAGTTCTGCCTTGTGCTTTACATATGCTCACTCAAGCACAAATTCGCCGAAGTAGAGCTACTGTACACCCAGAGAAAAACCTTCTATTTTCGAGCCAGATCCGACTGTCTGAATAAAGTTTCCATCCACACCAGGGCTGGCCTCAGGAGGCGGGCCTAAGCTCGTATCCACGATGGCTCCGCCCTGTGAGTGTACGCGTCAACGGTATCTCGGCAACAAATGGCATGTCTTGGGTTTTGAGTCGTGCCATGCCGCTCATCATCTCGCAGACAAGGGGGGCTCCGGCTGAGTTTTCACCGATGCCTGCTGAGATGGGTTTGATCTACCGGATCAACAGCGTTGATATCCATTGATACCCACGGATAATCACCGCCAAAGCGCACATCCTCATACAATGCTAATTCGGTCAAATGAACAAGCCAGTCAGACACGGCAGGTGGTCCAGAACCTGACGGGGATCCGGGAAGACACTAACTAACCTACTCTAACAGCCTTCAGGCAAACATGGCAAGGGATGGATGTCCTGGTCCACCTTTGCCGCTGACAATTCATCAACGGGCATCTGCGCACAAATCAAGCCAAGCCAAGGCCCGGATTGCAAAACAACAACAGAGCACAGCCCTTCGGCAAGTCTAGGGGCTTGGTGAGTCTTGGCCCCCCTGCTTAATTTGTGTGTGAGTTCCATAGTAGCCATCATGTGAGGCAAGACGCGTGTCTCGTCCTTTCTTTAAAGTATTACTTTTTCACACTACATACCGCTTAGCGTTGCCTCTGCCGTCATAGGTTCCACTTGAGCTCAAGGCCATCCGAATCTCGCATTGCAGGATCGCTCCGGGAAACTTTCTGCAATTCAATTTGGACACTAAAATCCAATTGACATTGCTCTCCCATCGGTGATCTCCCGGGTTTCCTTCATCCCATATCTTCTCAACACCTTGCTGGCAATGAGGTGTTGTTGAGGAACACAGCCTTACACATATTTGCAAACTACCCACTTCCTTCTTTGACGAGCCCGGGGCTCACCAAAATCATCCAAGATGCGCCTCAACCAGGCGGTATCTCTAGGCCACACGGCAGTGTTGCTCCTGCCACTGCTTTGGGGCCATGCTGCAGCGCAATCTGTCAGTTTCTCCGACACCTCGGACTTGAGCTTCTTCACAGGAACCAGAGCCAAAACCAGTGCAGCGACCGGGCCTCCAAGTAGCATTTATACTACGTACAATTCCAAAATTACTCTGACAGGCGCGACGAGTGCTTCCGTCACTGGATCCTTTACAGAGCGTCTGTCTTCAACGGAGTCATCCATATCGACGACGACAGCTGGAAATGTGACAGTCTCATCAACAACAACGAGCAGCTCTGCAGCGCCAACGAACACTCAGCCATGCAACGGCTATGTCGAGCTTTGCACACGCAAGTACAGCAACATCACGGCTGTAGGGTGTCACAACTCTCCCTTTGTTCGACCTGGCAACACGGGCTCCAACCAAGAACTGCCTGTCAAAACCCAGCTCGACGATGGTGTTCGCTTTCTGCAGGCCCAGATCCAGTTTCCTGTAAATGGCTCTGTACCTCATTTTTGCCACACATCATGCGACCTTCTTGATGCTGGGCCTATTAACGAATGGTTGTCTGAGGTTACGGAGTGGGTGGCCGCCCATCCATATGATGTCGTGACCATCCTGCTCGGCAATGGCAACTACTCCCATCCCTCCCTGTATGCTCCGTATATTGAGCAATCTGGCATCACGACATACGCCTACCAGGCACCATACCTGCCCATGTCTTACGACGACTGGCCTACCCTCGAGTACCTTATTGTCAGGGGAAAGCGTGTCATAATGTTCCTGGATTACAGCGCCGATCAAAACGAGTATCCATGGCTTTTGGATGAATTCTCGCAGGTGTGGGAGACGCCGTTCGACCCAACCGACTCAAGCTTCCCATGCACTGTACAGCGACCGCCGGATTTGAGTGACGACTCCGCCCGAAATCGCCTGTACATCATGAACCACAACCTGAATGCTGAGTTCAATGTCTTCTCTACCCAGTTGCTTGTCCCTGCGGTCTCTTTACTCAACCAAACCAACAATGCAACGGGTAACGGGAGCCTGGGCATGGCTGCCAACAACTGCCGGTCAGACTGGGGCCGCGCACCAAATGTGCTTAATGTCGACTACTACAATTACGGCGATCCGCCCGGTTCGGTTTTCGAGGTTGCAGCCCAGATGAACAACGTCACATATGACTGGAACTGTTGCGGGCAGGTTTCTGCTGCTCGTGTTCTTAGGGCTGCCGGTGCATGGGTGTCACTCGCGCCTATTTTGCTATGCACGTACATACTCTGGTGGTAGTGGTAGCCGGTTACAAAAGCGTGTTGATAAGACACTCGGTTTGCATCATGAACGATTCCCTTGACTGACTCCAGTCCTTGTTTTCAGCGATTACTTGGCAATTTTTGGTCGGCATTAGAAGATATTGTTGGTTTCTTGTCCCATACACGACCGAGGTAGACTTACTCGGCAAAATCTTATGAGGCGTTGGGTTGCCTGAATTTGAGTTTAGATATAAAGAAAGATAATGGAAATTTCTCCACGCCCCCATCTAAGCCGTGGCTTTGGGGGCACTCCTAATATCCAAAAGTAGACAGTGGCAGTACCAAAAATAGAACAAGCTTTGCTCAGGCTCTTACCGTCTATTTGTGATTATGCTGGATCGTGGTAGGAAGTTTGACGGCGCCGATCTAGTGATCTGAAGTGCAGCTCGTATTGGAGTGGTAGGCGATCTAGAATGCAATCCATGCAGGTACTTCCAGGTACAAAGCTCGAAGGGATGGCTAGATCAGCCGGGCCGTAGGGCTGAATCAGAATGACCAGCCTTTTTCTGCTACCGTCCTTCCCAGCTGACTCTCTTGTCGTCGAGATCAAGTCATGCTGGGAAAATGCTGCCAAAT